GCACAGATTCGATTCTTGTCCGTCGACGGTAGTAAGCTCCCATAGAAACTGAAACTAGTGCTGGTGATCCATTTCATTAGCTATAAACGATTCTTTGATGAAGGGGTTCCATCTCAGTAGTTAGTGGGGTCAAGAAAAACATTAAATTAAAAAAAAAGAATGAAATAAGTACCAAAATAAGTAGCTAAATAAGAATGAAATACCTGAAAACCTGAAAAGTTTAGCAGATTGAATAATTTTATGTGATTAAATAAATAGCTAATTTTTTCGAAATTTTCTCGCAAATTTTCTCACTCGATAAAATGAAAGAATTTACTCATAGTTGCATTGTCTAGAAAGATTTTCACTTAGAGATCTCGTTAATCAGCACTGGCTTGTCAGCGGCTGAAGAAACTGAAGTTTGAAAATTACAAAAAAAATTTTATTTTTTTAAATTTCGCATTTGAAATTCAGATTTTCTATGCTAACTTTTCTCTCTCCTCTTCCCCCTCCCTAGAAAAAAAAAATTCTGATATTCCAAATTTTCTTGAAATTAATTTTGGAGACTTTAACAATTTTAACAAGCTTAATCTCGTCCGAATCCATCGGCTCTTTGGAGTGGAGTATGGAATCTATTTACTTGATAAATTAATGTGGTAGCAGAAATTTTCATCAGTGCTATGTGATACCATTACTGGAATTCGTAATGCAATTATTGTAATCATAACCAATATTACGGAACATATGATTAATCAGCTTAAGCATTAATGCGATGGAATTATTTTCCGAAGGTCCTCACCCTCCTCGCATAAGCCTTCCCAAAACAGTGGCTTTCGTTTTCATATTGATTTGATATGATAAATCGAATGAAAATTTTTGAAAATAGCTTGAAGTTAGTTCTGATTAGAAGATTACCTTATACTGCCTGTTGCTAATGAAATTGTTTCCAAATAATTTGCGAAATAAAAAATGAATAGTTTTTACTCAAAGTAATTACGTTTTAATCGATTTCTAAACAGGATCAGGAGTTATTTTAGTAGAGATAAGTAGAGATGCAGGCATTCTGCGCAATTATTTAGTGATAAAACCTGAAAAGTTTAGCGGATTGAATAATTTTAGGTGATTAAAATGTGATTTACAATGAAGTTTTTTATTTTTTTTTACTTAATGGTAAAATGTGACAATTTCAAAAAAGGTTACTAATTTCTTAGGAGCACTTATATATTTTCATTCATCTAAACTGCACTTTATTTGCTGGGCTAAATCCACTGGGTGCCGTGAAATGTTGCCAAAATAGTCACTTATTTTTCACCATCTAAGCCTACATACATCGACTGTTTTTTGTTGCCTATTGCTTATCAGTAAATGCATATGTTTTAATTTAATCCTTGCTACCAACAAACTATCGAAATTTTTGAACGGATAAATTGTATTAATTTCTTAGAGTGATTAGCAGCAAATTTTTGATCCAAATGTTAAAAGTACAAAAGAATTAGGTAAATAGAGAATTTAAGTTTCATAACCTTAGCAATTTTTATCTAATAAATGTTTCATTTCGTCGTCTCTTTGGCCTGTAGTTGGGTAATGTTGATCCGGACACAACTGAACTTCTTATCAGCTGAGCCTATTTTAGTATTTTCATCAAATAGCATAGTATTTAACTATTCTATGTTTTGTGTATTTATGTTTACTTATTTGTTTATTTTGTATGTTTTCCAAATTGTTTTCTCTTTCCCTTTTATTGTTTGAGTTTGTTTTCAGCTATTTGCTATTTGCGATTGCGATTCACAATAATCTGCTACTATGCAAGTCGGAAATCAAAATGATCCTCTCACCGTGAAGTCAAACTTGTAGACCTTGTAATATAGAAATTGATACATTTGCTTCACTTTTTGTAATACGAGGAGTTTTGAGTGCAGATCGCTTCTTAAGAATTTAATCAATTTAACTATATTCTTTCTTCTACTAAGTTCTAGTTTTGCCACTATTTCTGGTTTTGCTGGTTATTAGGACAAGGCTCTCTCGCCAGAGAGTCATTTGGAGATAGAAGTGCAATCAGAAGCATTAACTCAGCTTTAGTTCTAAAATTTACTCATACCAAAAAGCGAGGCAAGAAGCGAGTCTATAATGTGTGGCTCGATCTTAATCGATGCAAGATACCATTCGACCATTCTAACATTCTCAATTTAAATTTATTTCTTCTAACTTTAAAAATTTCCAAACGATAAATTTATTTTTATTGTCTTTTTTCATTCCAAAAATATCGTCTTTTAAGCTTGCATCAATATAAAAGGCAATTTTTTCATGCTCAAATTAATTTTCCATGAATTTTAATTAATTAATAAATGAATAGACTTACATTGGCCTTTTATCAGTGTAAATACTTTGATTGCAAATCGACTTTAGTCAAATATTTTTCCTAAAAAAATCGACTTTGAACGATTTTTTATTCATGAAAATCGATTTCTAACCTAATCGGATTCTCGAGATCACTTTCATTGGAATTTTTCATTACTTCTCGATTTATCTCCAACTAATAATTTACTGCAATCTTCGATTATGTATCAAAAATTAAAAATATATAAAAACGGTAAAAAATCGGCTTCGATCTGGGTGGCTTTTTTTCGCCAAGTAACATATTGGCAAAAGGTTCTTACCGTATTAATAGCCAGATTTGCTAAAAAGTAGTAGGTGCTAACCACTTACCTTTGCCTTATGATTATGGAAAATGCTGGCATGTGACAAACGATCCGAGAATTCGGCCTGACTAAAATGAATTCAATCTTTCCTTAAAACAGTCCATCTTTTAGCCGTACATCTACAAATACATTAATACTTTTTCTTGTTCCTTTTTTCTTCACCAAAAAATTCCGTTTGATTTCATTATCAAATGAAATGGTATAATCAACCAATCAATTTAATTTTGAGAAGATCGGAAATAGTTCACCGAGTTTCATTAGGTTATTTCCGGAAGATAGTTATTTCGAAGCAAAACAGATCTGAAATTTTGGATTTTTGAAAACTAATATATAACTGATGCAATCTCCGCATTTCTTCAGCTAATTTAATTTATAAAACTCATTTTCGAATAAATTTAAAATAAAACCAAATGAATTCAAGAAAAAGTGAAAATGTCATTTTTTGGCACGACCGAGCGGTATATTATTTCAAGTAGTCAAGCAAGCACCATGGGTTTAATTCTCGTACTTTGACGAGAATGAACCTGTTATTAAAAGTGAAATTAAGCGAGTGCTATAAACTTATCTCTATTTCCAACTGATTTCCTGGCGAAAGATTTTTATCCTTGCAGTTAGAGGAACCTACGAATCTATGGATGGTGAGCGCTCGCAAAAAATAAAGAATGGAGTTCGATGAAGAACTTACAAAAAGAACTTAAGATCGATTTGATTAGATACCACAAAAGTTCATTTAAAATTTTGAAATTCGATAAAAGTTATACGAGAAATATAATATGGATTGTTCTTTTATTTGAGTTCATTCAGATAGCTAATTAATATCCATTGATATTTCCATAACAAATTTATACCGAATTTTTTTAATTTGATAATTTATTTGCCTTGAATTATTTCAAATATTTTTGCATAGCTTTACTGGATCGCTTATATACTCGCCTTTTACTAGTATATCTGGCTTCTTTCGCTGTTGGAAAAAGACCGCTATTTGAAAGAGTCACTTGAGAGTCACATCACAAGAACAGATGGACATCCAAAATTCCAAAGTGATTCGAGGATTACATACATATTAAAATTGATTCTATCTTGAAGAAAACATTATAGTCAGTTTACAATTGAAATTTTGACTGTTCGACTGTTTTAAGTAAATTGAACGAAAAAGCACCTTAAAAAGTGAAGAAAAAAGTTTACAGTATCATAAATTAATTGCTAGAAGCTTTTTTATTTTGAGCTATATTAGTGAGTTGTTTAGTGAATTGTAGGTTATAGGTAAATCAGTTCAGTTAGAATATAGCTCATGTGCATTAATTTACATACTGTGCAAAAATCTGGATTTAATTTAAGGTGGGCGAATTGTCTTCCAAGTCTATTCTATTGACCAGCCAGCATTCTTCTGGAATTGCAGATGCTATAAAGATTCTTCACTCCTGCATCATCCACCTCGATCATAATTATTATTTGCTAGTGGAATGAAAAAATTTCGTTAACTTTTTCTGAGCCTATAAAAATTCATGTCATTGCAATATTCATCAAAAGTCTTAAAATTTTGCATTTTTATAAAGATTAATATTGGAAGATGAACACATTTTTATATGAAAATGAGCAAATTGTCTCGTTACAAAGCTAAGCTATAATCTATCTTAAAACGCGAATTGTCGATGTTTTTAGTGAAAATTCATGTAAAGGAGAAGAAAACAAATAAAGTAGTTAATTTAACGAAGAAATTTTTGTATAGAACTTGTTTTCATTTTTTCGTTATATTTTGTTTTTCAACGACGATTACTATTCACACGCGTTTTTCCTCATTAAATCCTCTTCTAACTTTTTCTCCATGTAACTTTTTTTTCAACAATTTTTTAAAATATCGTAAATATTTTGCGTTATCGTCATATTTCCTGCTCTCTAACGACAGAAAATCTGTCATTAAAAGTGAAAAAAGAGTGGTGCTGAATAATCACCTTTATCTGCGAGTGATTCTCCCCCAAAAGTTTTAATTTAATAGCCTGGAAATGGTTAGTGGCCTTAGAAGAAGTATTTTTTCCATCGATCATTTTATGATTAGTGAGAGTTTTCTTGGATTGCACAGGATGGCGCATTTAGTAGCCATTTGTGGAAGTCCCAGTCAAAAGCAAATTAAATACCAATAGTGGATTCGCGCGAACTTGGAAAAATCTTTTATTCCCATAATTTTTTCGCCTTATCCTATCTATTTAATCGCTCCTTCAATAGAATAATTTAAAATTGCACAAGAAATTCGAAGAAGAATTGATGCTTTTCGAGAATCGCAAATGAAGTGAAATTCTAGAATACCAAAGTGCTACTCATACAATGCCTCAGCATGGCGTTCTCGGTGGACCAGATTTCAGAGGTAGTGAATCAATTCTCAGAAGACGAAAAAGTATAACAGAAGAATATCCACGGCCGCCAATATTTGGAGGACGTAAGTTGATTGAAAAAATAATAATATTACTGTTGTTAATTGATTGTATCATTTCCAATGCAACTTTATCGAGTTGTTAAGCTTTTTCAGTATAAATGTAAGAGAATTGACACATTGCAGATGATTTATTGCTTGATCCACTTTTCGCTGTCCAAGCAATTCAAATTGGCAACCATCCTACGAGTTAGTCATTTTTAAAATAAACACAAAGTTCCAAATGTTATAAGATATATCTTTGCCACACCATTAGCAACTTTATTTATTGAATTTCTTCTCGCCAAATTCAAAATATTTTCATCATTTAAATTATACATAAAATGACGTAAAACTAACTTCATTTTATTAGAAAAATTATACAATTTCAGTTTTCACAATAAATTTTGCATAAAATAGAAAGGTAAATAGAAAGGCAAATGCAAAATTTAAAAATTAAGTTTTGGTAGCAAAAATTTTAAAAACGATGGAAATCTGGAGATAAGCAAAATATTCATGAAATGCATCGAGGAAGGACTGTTGCTCACATTATACATTATTGTTCAGAATTTCACATCGTGCTAACAGCCAATGGAGCAGACCTAATTTTGGAAAATTTCAACACTGAGATGGGTGAAAAAAATTAACCTCTCGCAAAAATTAGGCAGAAGAATCAAATCGAACTATTTTTAAAGCCATGAAGCCTATAATCTACTAGCGACCCATAGTCAAAAGAAAGAGAACAACATTTTTAGTTTCGTCGAAATTAGGAAGATTAAATTTTAATCGATATTTACCTGAAGAACGAATGTGAATAGCTCCAGATACTTCAGCTAGTCTAATCTCGAAAATTCGTTTATCCAAGAAAATAGTGAAAATCGCTTTATGCGTTTTGACGTGAGCCATTAAGTGAAATTTTGCTGGTGCCGGAGATTTATCAGTAAATTTATCGCCTCTCTGGATCGCATCCTAATAGTAAACCAGGAATTCTGATTGTTGTTAGAAAAAAAACGAATAGTAAAAAAATCATTGTTATTTTCGTGTCACTGTAAAATTGCATTGTAAAATTACATAGTATAGCTGGAATTATTTAACTAATCATAATGTCAACACCTTTTTTCGATAAATGCACACACTGAAACCAGTTGTTTTTTGAAAACTAGTTGCTCTAATAGACGTTTGAATGAACTAACAACACAGAAAAATGTCCTGATGAGTCATCAATAAGTTTCTTACACCATTTTGCTAATACCACGGTTTGAGGTCCTATATACAATGTTCGTCAAGTTCTGGAAGCTAATCCGGAAGCGAGTCCCTCATTATATACTGAAATGTTGGAGCTTGAATCATCTGATGATGGTGGCTTGCATTGGAATCAAGTTGCTCGGTTATTATGACACAATTTTCTGTAAAAAATTTTATAGTTAGCCAAGCTTTTTAGTACTTAGGCCATTGAGTTAAGTTAGATTCATACCTGACACTAGCAGATTATAGTTTCCTTTTCTATTCAGATGGATCAAATACGAACAGTCCGTTGAAGGAGATGGAACAAGATTCTCAAAGCCTCACATAACCTTAATTTCAATGCTTGGTTTATTGCAACTGCGAAACTGTCTTAGAAGAGGAATCGTTCTTGTAGATTGCGAAGCGAACAATTTTGATGATATTGCTGGTATATAAATTTTGTTCTAGAATTTTTCCTCAAAATCTTTTTTCCACATAGTTATTGATACGTCGAAATATCTTTTCATGACTATTTCTTTAACAAATTAAAAGATGTCTTCATTACTATTTATAGGTAAAAAATTTATAATGAATTCTTCACTTAAATATGGAGAGCGTCATAGATTCGATTTCTGATGCTTTAAGATAGTAAATCTATCTAAATCTAATCTAAACTGGAAATTTAATCAGAAAGGGCCATGTCCATACGTAATTTTATCCCCAAATGCTATCCTATTAGCCAGTGGAGACAGCTGAAGCAGAAATGACGAGTGCAGTAGGAAAAAGAAGAATAATTGGTTCAAATAGCGACGAAGAACTATTTGCCTTATGAGCTTTTCACTCATTCACTCATTTCTAGATACGATATGTTATGCATGGATTGAAAGAAGTTTTATAACCGACGACAATTCACTAATGATAAAAGAAATTTTGAAATCTCCAAAGTACCATTTGATTGGCAAACGCCTTCGTCCAGCATATGAAAAAAGAGGTGAATGCATTTAATTCGCAAAATTCACACATTTCTCTTAACGATTCAAAAATGCGACCGAATCGTTACGAAATATGCAGATTTTCGAAAATATTAAGAAAACTGGAAAAAGTGTTGAAGAATTTTATGATTTTACGCAATTAGCATTTTGTAAAGCAAAAATTTCAAAACCTAATTAAATCAAGTTATCAGATGAAAAAGTCGATTTGAAGGCATGTGAAGGGGAAACAGTTTTGAATGGCGATGAAGGTTCCATCGAAGTAATTTTTCATTTACTTTTCGCAACTATAGGTCGTTTAAAAAATCTCCACTATTTTAAGTTGTCGACTTTTATTGAAAGTCAGTATTTTTATTATAATTTTTTTATTATAATATTTTATTAGAAATAAGCATCTTTACATTGAATACAGTTTTGCCAACGTGAATTCCCGTAAAACTCCAAGCTTCTAGAAACTGAAAATCTCGCAATTCACGTCAAATTTGAGAGATTGATGCTCTCAAAAAAAAATCAAGAATTGTACCGAGAAGAAAAGAAACAAGGTAGCATTGCGAGCAGAGCGGTATGACAGTTCAGCCATCTCGGTAGAACAAAAAAATATACTCATAAAATTAGGCACAACAAATGCCTTTGAATGACGCAATATTTTTCTGGTTCCCTCGGGTTTTTGTAGCTTTTAATTTTCTTGAATGATTGGTGGACGGGTTCACTTTTTTGGCTTATTATCTTTGATTTTGTGGTTACAACAGATCCCATAAATGAATTGAATAAATAAAAAAAATTTAATATATTTTAATATTTTTAATAGATTTTAAGATTTTAATGAAGGCTATTGCCAGGTTTTTAAAAATTCCGAATTTATAACCTATTTTTGAATTTCTAAGGCATCCAAAGAGATGAAGAAATTGGCGGCAGATGCTGAATCTGCAGTTATTCTAATTGGTCAAGTCAATATCTTAGAGAAGCCCATTTCAGCATTCATACGTCTTCGTAAAGCCAAAGTAAGTAAAAGCTTGATCCCGTCACTTTTTCCGAGTCATGCACCGAGATATGCTTCCATTTTTCTAAAGCAAACATTCCATTATAGATAATGTATCCTGATGTACCGAATATTCCTGTTCCAATTAAATTCGTCTTTGTCTTATTAAATACAAGGGATCATTATTTGAATGAAACGAAAGGTATTGGAAGAGCGATGGGTGCTCTTTTCTCCGATGAGGTATTTATCGCCGACTTCTTCAAGATAAACCAAAAAATACAGTTGTCTTACAAAACAGTCTGCAACAATCAAATATGCAAATAGCCTCATATTTTACTATTATTATTAACGACAAAATAAAATTGCACAAATTATTTCAGATATTTAAAAGAATAGCCACGCATTCATATGAACCGTATACGATATCTGATGCTGTCGAGGAGTTTTTCGCTGAGGTAATCGCAATGCCACCAGGTCATTGCAGTACGGAAACACGTTGGGAGCCGAAAGAAAATACCGAAGTTAATTTTTTTAATATAATATTTACGATGAAGGAATTGCCACTGAAAACTACTCGAAAACTTAGAAAATATGATTGTGATGCCAGTTTTGCACTAATTTTTAAAATTATTTACTCACTAAAGGATTAAAATATTATGGTTATAAAAACGTCAGTGAAATTAATGATCGCACTTAAAGCAATAAAAACCTTACAAAGAAATCATAGGAAGGACGCTCTGTTGGCATCATTTATGCGGCTTACGATGATGCTTTCGCTTCTAAAGAAACAGTAATCGAAGAACCATTTATTTGCCATAATGATATAGTTCGTAGTGGTCGATGCTTTGGTGGATTTATTGACGATCTAAAGTAAAGGTTTTAAGGATTTCCATACAATCGCCAAATCCTTATCATTTTAAACCTTGCTTTTTCAACAAATAACCGTAATTTATTAAAAATTTGGAAAAGTGTGGCAGATTGGTGTGACTTGGATTAAACGATTTGACTCTTATGCCTGATAGGTGTGAGCCTGTTGTTCGAAAATGTGCGTGGTCCTGCGAATCCACTTGCATCTTTCTGGCCAGTGGAGTGAGTTCAACCACAAATAACGACGATTACTACATTAGTAATCTGATATTATTTAAAACCTTTCATTCATATCATTACCCCATAAAATATGACTTGCAGGAGAAAATTACCTTTCTTCTTATCAGATTTTACTGATTTCTTCCGAGGTCGTTTAAGTCAATCGCTAGCTGTAACACTATTCTTATTTTTTGCCAATGTCACTTCAATTATTACATTTGGAGCTGTTATGGAGCGAGCTTTACATCATCAAATTGTAAGATTTTGCGATGAAATTCGTTGAAAAATAAAAAAATAATAAAGGTGTAAATTCGTTGCTCAGTTTCAACGACAATATTTTAGGCAGCTATAGAAAATATATTGTGTGGCGGTATCAGTGGAATTTTATTTGGTTTATTTTCGGGACAACCATTGAATATTTTGTCAGCGACAGGACCAACCCTAGTTTTCGAAACTATTTTATACGACTTTTGCGTGTTAGTTGGTTAATTCTCTTAATACTTGCTTTTTCATAGTTTTTTTAAATTAAATTTTGACATATCACCTTGCCCTTTATATGATGAAAGAAGATTAATAAATAAGCTAAAATACCGTCAGAAATGCCTCAGAGCAGACCAACTCTTCTTATGATGACTGCGCATTTAGGACGAATAATTGGGAATTTTTACCGTTCCGCTTTTGGGTTGGTGTATGGACAAGTGCTATTCTCGTTATTTTAGTTGCAACTGATATGTCCGCCTTGGTAGGTCTCATCACGAGGTAATTCTTTATATTATAATTGATAAAGTAATAAATAATTTTGGGAATTTAGGCGATTTTTTGCTAAATCTTTCTTGCAAAATCAGTTGGAGAAAATGGTGATGCAAATTCATTGTATTTTAAATTTTAATTCTAAATTCTAAGCAATTTTAAGTCGATTTAATTGGATTCCAGGTAATTTAATGGTTAATTAATTCATTTATTCATTTTTTTCGAAAATATTTTCGGATTAATCTATGCGAAGCATTAAGATTTACGGAAGAAGCATTTGCAACCCTAATTTCTATTGTCTTCATTATTCAGTCGTTCCAAAAATTATTTGAAATCAGTCGAGAATCGCCTATTACGAACGATCCAGAGGTTTTATTTTTCTGTATTATTCATATGAACTTTTCAAATATTCTTGAATTCGATTGAATTTTTTTCTTTTATTTCATTTGCCAAAATAATTCCTCTGAATTGAAAGCTAAATATTATTTACTGGGATTTTTAAAAATTTTTGGACTTTTAAGAAAACTCCCGTCGTTAAAAAGTTAAAATGTTCAAAAATCGATGAAAGTAAGTTTCATCTTTCATTTAAACAATATCAGTTTGATGAAATATATAAAAAGAATTTAAGGCAGTTTTCGATTCTCCTTGCATTTGTTTTATCGATAATGCTACAAATATAAAAGTTGGAAGTAAAAAAAGCGATATTACTCTTGCAGGTAATGTTCCCATTAATAAAACATGACTAATTTTAATTCCAGAATGGAACAAAATATTCAATGATTGAAATCAATTCAAAAATCAAAAAACCATTTAAACACTTTTCCAATTATTTGAAACTGCCATTTACAAATTATTATTATAACAATACAATTATTATTATTACGTCCTTTCAGAATGTAGCGATCGTCATGGCGAGGCTATTGGCTTACAGTGTCATTTCAAACCCGACGTTTACATGTTCTCCATGCTTTTGACTTTTGGCACATTCACTTTGACTTATGGATTAAATATCTTCAGAAGAACATCATTCTTTAGCGCAATAGTTGTGTTTTTATTCTGAATCAATTCTTTTTAACTCATGTTTGACTCTATGTTTGACTAACCAATATTGCCACAATTTTTGTCAATAGTATGCATACACTATAATTTAATCAAATAAATTTTTCTCAGATTCGAAATAGTGTATCGGATTTTGGAGTTTTCATAGCAATTGTCGTAATGACGAGTCTATCACATTATATCGGGCTTGATGTGCCGATTCTTAATATCCCAAGCAACTTCAGAGTAAAATTTTCATAAATATTTCCACTCATTTTAAATTTAAAGCATTGTGGCACTCAAATGAGATTAACGATAATTTTCTTCGAATGAAAAATAAATCAGAAAAAAACTGAATTTAATAAATTCAGCCAACTCTTAATCGACAATGGCTGATAAATCCGATGCAAATTACTGGATGGTCTGTAGTTGCTGTAGCGATTTTGCCAGCCATATTTTATACGATTCTTATCGTAATGGATCAACAGATTACTGCAGTTATCATTAACAGAAAAGACAATAAACTTCGAGTGAGTCCAAAAAATATAATTAAATAAAACAATAAGTTGTTGATAAACTGTTTTTTATACAATAAATTATGAAAAAATATTACCTATGGAAATACAATACTTTGACATTATTTTGGCATTTATTCGCAAATATTAAGGTTTCGCTGCATGCTGCATTTTCTCAATACGCATCTTGCTTTTTTGTAACCAATCATTTGTCCACATGACACAAAATATTTTAGAAAAGTTATGGTTATCACCTTGATTTATTTGTAATTGCTGCACTTATTGTCATATGTAGTGCTCTGGGCCTTCCATTTTATGTCGCTGCAACAGTTCTTTCTGTAATGCACGTTGATTCGTTACGCCTGCAAAGTGATATCTCAGCTCCGGGAGAAAAAGCGCAATTTCTTGGAGTGAAGTTAGTTTATTACCGCTCGCTGAATGGAATTTTTTCTAATCAAAATCGAAAAAAAAGGCTTTTCAGAAAAAAATCATCATTTCGAACAAAGCCAATTTAATTTATCTCAAATTTATAGAATAATTCAAATTTTTCTTTTTGGTATGTTACATTAATTTATTTTCAGAGAGCAGCGTTTAACAGCAATAATCGCTCATGTTTTGATTGGCCTTTCAGTTCTTTTAACTCCTTTAATTAAAGTATGTTATCTTATCTATCAGATCTGTTAAAATTAAATAGGCAATCAATAAATATATCAAATTTTTAATGTCCAAATTAAAGTTAATTAATTTCATCAAATAGCTTACCAAATTCAATTCCATCCAAATTTTTGTCAAAAAATTATTTGCAGCTGGTTCCTTTACCTGTTCTTATCGGCGTTTTCCTTTATATGGGTGTGGTTTCTATGCTTGGTTTGCAATTTGTACAAAGAATTTCCATGTTATTCATGTCAACGAAGTATCAGGTTCACCAAATTTTCCTTATGAAAATTTTTTATTCATCTAATATAATTCTTTGGAAGTTTTTGAAATGTACTCGAATAATCTATTGGTATAGCAAAGCAGACTTGTGAAATAAATTTAATTTAGCCGAAGTCAATTTCGAGATAAAGTTAGCTGAAATTTATGGCAGAAAAGCAATTCCAGAACATTCAATATTAAATTGCATACTTCTTACTTGAAACTTACTTTTCAGCCTGATTATACATGGTTACGTATGGTTCGAATGAAACGTGTCCACTTATTCACTTTTATACAAATTCTTAGTATTGTTGCGTTATTTGCAGTTAAATATTCCAAATTAATTTCGATGATGTTTCCGCTAATGGTATGTCCTGAAATTTCAAGGAAATATAAAAAAAAGAGATAGGAAATAGATGTATCCAAATTCTACAAATTATTTTGTAGAAATTTTTCAAGAATTTTTTCTTCTTTTTCTTCTCATAGTCAAAACCTTATTAGTTATAAAGATTAATACGTCCATTTTTCAGCTAGTGTTTATGGTGATATTAAGAATGTTCGTCTTAGAAAAGATTTTTACGAAACAAGAATTAATTGCACTTGACGATATTGTCCCAACATTTAGTTCGGTGGTTAGCCCGAAAAAAACCGCAAGAAAAGGTATTTCATTAATTTTACTTTTTGATATTACAAAAATATTACAAACGCATGTTAAAAAAGACGGTTAGAAAGGTTCAAATCATCCGAAATAAAAAAAACTGACCATTTTTTGTACAAAATCTTTAAATCAAGGAAATTAAAAAATTAAGAATAATAAATCCGTACGAACTGAAAACAGATTTCATTTATTTCTTCGAAAAGGGTCATTTCTTCATTTAATATTAAATATAAATATTATTTAATTACTCTGCTTGCAGATAAGCATTCGACTATAGTTAATGAAGAAATGGAAGCACTACATCGAATTGAAGGTGCAATTAAAACCAAAACAAACCGACAAAAATTATAAAATAAAAAAACAAAAGATTTCATAAATTTTTAAGAAATGACCACAATTAACTTTAGCAATTGCAATTTCATTTTTTGTAAATACAAATATAATAAAAAATAAACACACTGCTCGAATAGAATTTAATAAAGTTCTACAAAAATTGCACAAAATAAAAATTATAAAATTTGGCAAAACAGAAAAAGGTGAAATCGTAAAGGTGCTGAAGATCAATCTGCGCACATCCATGGCTAAATTTCGCAGAGAAAGAACCATGCGACTTCACTGAACAAGGCGCAAAGAATGTTCGAAATTAATAAAAACTTAATAAAAACTTAAAAGTGAAAAAATTTCTGAGAAAACTGAGACATTTTTGCCCTTAGACTTGGGAAAAAGCTTATAAGCGAGAAGTGAGCAATCTTTGCTCCAATGGCAGTTAGTGTAATAGGAAATCGCTGGAAAGCGATCACCTGGTTGACAACGCTGTATCGAATGGATCATCGTTAAATGACGACTTCATAAACAAAAGCGAATTCGAACTTCGATGACTTCGAAGCGAGAATAAAGCAAATTTTTTTTTTTAAAAGTCCTCACCATTACCGATTAAACTCGCTCCACTGGCTTGTCGCATTGGGCACTATGCCAGGGGGTCCCTTGGCGACAGAAGTACAGGTGAGTCGCCAGTATCACCAGGACTTTCGGACAGGTTTACTACTGCGAACCTCAGCATCGGCGTTCTCAACTGAGCAACAACCCACTGAGAAATTAGTAAAAAATCTGAAATTCTTAACAACTGAACTATTAAAAGAAGCGAGGAAAAATTTCTTTAGAAAAAAATTTATAGCAAAACATATAAAGTAATAAAGAAAAAAAACGAAAGCATATTGCTTCACATAAATAAATACGAAATTCATGTCTGAATTTTCATATTTTCATTGTTTTAAATTTTGTCAACATAAATTAACAAGCCGATTAACAAGCCGATGCGAGTTTTAGCTATTCCAACATTCGGCTTATGATGCCGGTTTTTTCATTTTGCTATTCCAATTTTATGTGAATTCAAGAAGCCGACACGACACTTAAAAGAACCTTGAAAGACGGCTTTTTTATTGTGGCTTTCATTTTCTTGGTATTTCGAATTTGGAAATTCAGAAGAATGTAGGCAATAAGGAGAAGATGAAAGGCGATGCGCCAATTTTAAAGTGGTGAAAGTTTTGCAGACACCGAAAGATTTCACATAATACGGAATAAAATCGCAAAAATGAAAGCATTTTACGTTTTTCATACATTTTCTGTTCGAAATTCCCGTTGTCGTTTTCCCCCATGGCCAACTGTTTTTTGTTTCGTTCGCCTCGTGGCTGGCAGTGCGAATCAGCTTTGCCAACTTGGTGCACAGAAGCGGAGCTGCAGACGAGTTCCAAGTGGATTCTAGGGCTCATTCTGCTTTTCCGCCTGAAATTTAGCGTTAGCGTTTCACTAGTGATCGTTCTTCCCGCAATAACCTTGCTTAAATCAGTTTTAGTCGGTTAGGCTAGAACTTCCTTCGAAAATTTCAGTGATTCTGGCTCAGCCATTGCTCTCTTATCACACAGTCTTATCATATTTGTTTTGATAAGTAGTGTTCTGCATTTTTTATAAACTAGTTTGGTGTTGTGGGTTGTGGTTGATCTCTCAAATTTTAATAATTTTCATTGTATTTTTCTATGCGTTTGAGCGTGGCCCCATTGGCGCAGTCGGTTAGCGCGTCGTACTTATAAGTTAACGCTATGAAATGCGAAGGTCAGCAGTTCGAACCTGCTATGGGGCAAGACTTTTTTCCCGCATTGTTATTGTTTTTATCCTCACGAAATACCAAAAAGTCACAAAATTATTATCGCATATCATGATTATATGTAATAATAAGAGCCATACTTGTTTTTTTAGTTCCAATCTTTTGCTTAAGTTTTTTATCACTTCTTTCCATTTCAAGATGAAGTAGCACTGGATAAGGTAACTTTGGAATGAGCTCTAGCTCATGGAATAAGTTAGTAATGTTAGTAATCATTATTAGGTGATGAAAAATTCGCATTTATTTAAAGAATAAATTATTGCATTAATAGTGATAAAATGATTATCAGTGATAATAACCAGTTAACACTCAAACAAATATTTCTAAATGGCACTAATAATTTTTAAAGGAAGAAATATCATGGGTTTGTTGTTGCTGATTTGATTGATGATTATTGTCATATTCCATTAGTTGTCATCAATTCAGTTCAGTTCAAAGTCATGATTGTATTATAGCATTGACTGTCACGATCAATTTGCGCTCTTTGATGTAAAGTACCTAGGTTAGAAGTCCAAATCCAAGACTCTACTTTAGGCGAGTTACACTCGTTTTGGGAAAGATTTTAAGTGAATAAGAAGTCGTTTGAAGAATGTTAGTTAATAGTTGGCAAATGGTTTTCTGTTTCAAGAAGTTCCTGAGCCTCTGCGAAAACAGTGGTAATGCTGAGTTCTAAACAACTGATATATTGATATTTATCAGGATTGAATAATATTTCTTATCAACTTTTATCACTTTTAGAGTCTTCGAAAATCGATAAATTTTTATTTTTAAATGCATTAAATAATTTGTTCAACCTCATCATCTTTATTTCCTTTATATTTTAAATAATCATTTATTGAATTTTTTTTTTGTACTATTTCTCATTTAACTAATTTCATTGGCTATTAGAGTGTAATATTTTTGCAAGAAAGTCATTCGGAGATAGAAATACATTTGGATTTTCAGCAATATTCCTATTTGATTTTTTAAGATTCATAAAGGGACATGGCCTGAGCCATGTTGAATTAGCATACACGTTTGGAAGAAAGCACCCTATGTGGCCAAATCTGATATTTGTTCCGCGTTCTCTCTTGCTTTGCATTTTTTTTAGATTTTTTTTGTCGAATTTTTTAAGTTTTGTTCTTACATGTTGTAATTCAGTTCAGTTCAAAGTTATGATTGTATTATAGCTTTGTTGAATGACAAGAAATATGGGAAAAGAGGATTTATCGCTTGAAGAACACTTCGCCGAAGTTGAGGAATTAAAGAAAAGGTTAAAAGTTATCCTCGAAAAATATCCACACTACGATACATATTTTTCGTTGTTACGATGGCTTGATTCCTACGATTATGATATAGGTAAGTTGAGAATCTCCACTGAATTGAGCGCATATGATGGGGCATTTTTCTTCACACTATTAGGTTATAATAATTTTATTTTTTATTTCATTTTCACATTTTAGACAATCAGTAAAATCATCAATCGAAAAAAAGAAAAAACAGCGTCGAAACACATGGTACTCTTTAACAATTCTTTCAGAAACAGCTGAGGTAAAAATGAAGCAAGCATTCAATTATTTTGAGAAATTTGACATATTCGAAAATACAAAATTTGATAGTTATGATGAATTCAATGAATTTCTTATATCGCATATACCAGCCACAAAATATTTCCCAGGTGAGCGGGTTTTTCCATCAGCTTCATTGTTGACGATGAAAGTTTATCAGTCAGTTCACGTTCACCGCTATTTTTAATGATGTTCGATAAAAATTGAAAATGAATTGCAGGTGGTGTGATGGGGACAGACAAACATGGTAATATTCTATCTATGCAACCAATAGGCCGAGTTAAGCCTCGAATTTTAATGAAACTAGGAAGAGTTTCAGATTTCTTTCGAGCAATTATGCTTGAAACTGAAATTTCCATGGCTCATCTCAGGTTTTTTCTTATACATACTTTTTATTTTCTTATTTTATAATAATTCTAATAAATGACATTACGAAAAAAGCAGAATCGATGCTGAATTGTTGGTATTTTAAAGGAAGGAAGAACTGAAACGTGGCCATAGGCTCCATATTATATTATTAGTGGATGTCGCTGGTTTTTCCCTCGACACTTTCTATATGCCAGCAATCAAGATATATTTTGATTCGATAAATATTTTGCAGGTAAAATTTAGTTTATTTCTCAATTTTTTTCAATATAAGACATTCTATGATAAAAAGATTTATCCTAATAATCAGTGCAACAAGCCAAACGAGTTATATTGTACTGTATAAGAAAAAGAGAGATAATTTTATTTTTGTTTTTGAGCCGTATAATCTAATTATTCATATATTCAAATATGCAAGTTTTTTGATAACGAGAGATGAAGCGGATCAGTGGGTCGTTTCTCTCTTTTTGGATCATTAGTGCTGGGATTATATTCCTAGAAAGAACCGTACCTTTTAAAAATGATTATCAAAATGTTTTTTATTTTTTCTTTTATTACTATATTTCTTTCGCCAGATTTGTCCGATAAGCCAAGTCCGTTAAGCCCAGACGAGTTCTTGGCAAGCCAGATTTGCCAATGGGGAAATCCGATGAGCCAACGGGGCAAGCTTAATCGGAAATAATTTTAGAAAAAAAGTTTCAGAATATCTCTGATTTTGTGGATAATTGCTTGGTTTCATGATTTATGTTGTTTTAGTTGTTGTTTCCTGGTTCAATCAAAAAAATCTTTATATTTAACATTTTGCCAATGATATCAACAATTTATCAAATGGCTAAAAATATTTTGCCTAAGGTAAAATTAATTTTTAAATTAATTTATTTTAAACAGTATCATGTTCATTACAATGTCGAGCCAAATGGCTTTTCTTCTTTTTGAGCCTAAAGCCCTAAACGTGTGGAACATTATTTTGTAAGACAATAATTTAGGGAAAAATTATTGTAAATTATAAATTATTTATTAAGTAAGGAATATTAAATAATCTATATGTAGGATGTGGTAAAACGGATCGATTTTTTGGGAGACAACTGGAAGGATGTCCTGAGAGATGAATTCGGTGAGGAAAATATTTTGGAATATTGGGGTGGATCTAAGACTTCATCCACATCAACGGGCGCAATTCGAATGGGTGGTGATATTCCTATCGACTTTCTGTAACTCTGTTTCTTATAATTGCTTTAATTTTGGTCTTATATTTTATTACAATCAGTTTTCTAATGCTGGACAAAAAAATAAATTTTATCATTGTCATGCAAAATCCAAGGACGCATGATTGGTAATATTTATTGCGGTATTTAGTACCAGTTTTTTGCCATTTAAAATATTGCTTCTTATTAAGATATTGCGATATTGCTTCTTAATTAACATGGTAGGCTTAAAAAATTATTGAAATCGAGAAAAAATTGTATAACTGGAATCTGTACCAAATATCAGCAATTCGCCATTGCGATGGATTTTTTAGACCGAAAAATCTGTTTGGATATTTGAGAAAAAAGGCAGTGATATTCTATTTATGAAACATGAAAGAGCGATCAATTTTTTCAATTTTTTAATTTAGTGAAAAAATTACGAGTTCATTTGAAATCATTCATGATGAAAATTTAACACATGCATATATATTTGCTGGCGATAAGTTATCGCTGGAATTCGAAATCCTCGATGTCGGAACTATATTGTTATGGTATTTTACGGTTTCGAAAGGTGACATCGATTTTTGGATTTCCTTTGGCGATGTCGAAGTTTGTTGTTATGTTTAGCTTTAAATAATTAAATTCAATGTTGTCCTTCAATTTTTACAATTTGTTTGTTCCGTCTTCCAGAGTATTAGTTCCAAATTTTTTGGATGGAGCGGATCTCTGAGTTTCTTAATTTTTTGAGCTTATATTTTCAATTTATTTAATAAGGAATTTATTTATTCATTTTAATTTATTCATTATTATTAATTTTAATATATATTAATTAATATATTAATTTATTCCAATTTATTTTGATTTTTTCTTGTTTATATTTACTCAAAATATTTAAAATTTATTGACAATAAATTTGCGAGCAGGTTGTTTGCGAATTCAATTTAAGTTGAAATATGTTCATTTTATTGCACTCTTTTTTTATCACTAATTTGTTAAAAATTTTTTGAGGTGCAACCTGTTTTTCGGATCTCAACCGAATTTGTTCCTGAATTTGGTCAAATTATTTGCAAAGAGGCTGGCATTTACACTGTGAATTTTAGTAATAAACGTGGAAGAATTCGGAAAAAGCAAATAAATTATTCCATTAAAAGCAAATTTCATGAAAAAAGTCAAGCTAATTTCCAATCGGCGTCGTAATTTTGTTTTTATTATTTAATAAAGTCACTTATCTTTCGTTTATCATAGGTCGCAAATTTTAGCAAGGTTTTATTGGAATAAATATTTCTGGTTAGAATTTAGGATTATTACATTAGTTATTAGTATGGTGAGAAATTTTTGTCGGTCATTTGGGAATTGAGCCAACACCACCACTTTACTCATAGGCTGGCTCACTGGCATGCCTCTGTGGTTTCTGTGGTTTTATTATACATATTTTTTAATGGGGAAGTTATATCACCAACGTTGAATGCACAGAGATTTGGGTAATTATTTTTTTATGACCATTTGGCTCATAGATATTGAGTATTCTACGAAATTCTAAAATTTGTATTCAAATTCTAAAATTTTTAATATTTCATCCAGTTTTCTTTAGATTCCGATTTTTTTAATCGTTCTCCATCCAACCATCAAAACTAACCATATTCCCACATTTAAGTTTTTATAAAGTACCAAAGCGAATCTCGCTTTCTCGCTTACATTATATTATATAATAATCAGATTTGTTCCTCTGGTTCTAAATGCAATAAATTAATTTTTTATTATTTATGCGTTTATTCACGACTTTATTGTATTTTGACATTTAATCATTGGGCAAAGAATTTAAGCATTTTTTAATAAGTTGTTTCATTAAATGTGATTTTATGTGATTTTCTTTATTTTATAACCTTTGGTGTAAAGCATTTGTCTTCCATAAATTTTTGTAATAATTTGAGAAGGGTGAAACGGGATTTACGGCATTACGGTCAAAAAATGAATTTGAACGAATCGGATATTGCATTTTCGAAATTTCATATTCCATCTGCAGATCGTCCTTCGATTTGCCACATAGGCATAAGCATTGACCATCAATGATGGAACCTATTTAAAGAATTATTTATAGTCGTTTTCAGCCTAAAAAATATTGGAATAAAGTTTTTTTTGAAAATTGCCTTAAAACTTAAATTCATTACAACTGGTTTGCTGCGGAATTCTACGAATTTCTATTGAAATAATGAGGCCTTATATTTTTTAAATTTACAACGAATATTGTTTCCAGTTTCCCTCCAATGACCATTTAGTACCACTTCTGTGAAAAGAAAATCACTCCAGGTTTGCTCCATAGAAATTGAATTCTTATTGCTCGATAGCAGAAGGAACATATTATTCAGTCAGTGCAGTTTCCAGCTATTTTAATTGATAAGGCATTATTTTGAAACCGAATTCTTATTAAATCTTCATTAATTTTTCATAGCTTTCTAGCGATATTCATATCTTTTTTTTAGTCGAAATGAACAAATTTTACCTGTTACAATCTCTAGATCCTCTGCTTTTTTAGGTTTTGATGCTGTCGTTTTAATTGATCGAATAATTTCTTTTGGTCGATGCGGCCGATTTGGCCGTTCATGAAAGCGCGAAGAGAAACTAGGTGATAACTCTAAAATTAAATACTTCAAAAAATTGTCACGAAAAGAAAAGAAAATTTAGGTAATTAAACCTCAATATTATTTACAACATATCACTACATAAATGTTATACAGCACTGGCTACCAGCTTATTTTGCTAATTAAACTGACCTATTATTCGCTGCATTTATTTATTCAAAAGAAAATATCATAGTAATCTTTAATTAATATTGATAGGGTAATAATGATAATAAGAATAATAAATATTATAAGATTTTAATTTTATTTCATACATGTTATATTTTAACACCAACTTAATAACTATAAAATGGATATAAAATGCACATATATATTTAGCAAAAAAATGTTAAAAGAAGAATAACAAAAATGAGGAAACAAATAAGTCCAACAAAAATCTTTTTTTCTGCTTAATACCATCAGAAACAGCTTAATCAATGCCAAGAAAACCTGTGATCAATATGATACCACCTTCTTTAAAGATAAAATACGTTATTTACCTTTGGATTTTAGATTTTTAGATCCTGTGTCAATGATAAGGTGGTAGATGAAACCAGGCAAGTATTCAGATTGACGAACGCACCTCAGTACGGATGCTTGAAGTCGATTTTCGAGCTCTTCTCTTGAGCTGCATAAACAAGATCTCAGTGTAGATATATCTTGCGCTTGACAATGGTGATATCGTTTCACACTGAAATACTGTGGAAGTTTTCAAAGTGCGAAATATATTAATCAGCTACACAGTATCAACATTACAATTACGATCAAATTACGTGATCTCTATTATCTATTATCTAAAAATCGTATATAAAAGAAAATAGGCAATAATGAAATAATTATTGCAAATTAGTGCATGTTAGTGCATTAGCCTGCACAGAAGATCACAACGATTTTTGCTTTGGCTGGTTGCATTAGTGACTAGGATGAGACCTGTTCGTTAGACAGGGGGGTCACTGATAGAAGCATAGAAGCATAAGTTGATTCTCAGTTTTCCTTCTATAAAATATTACAGTGGTGCTATTTAGAACTAACTTTCTTATGCATATATTTAAAATATTATCTTTAGCCAATAGCAACTGTTGGAACTGATGATTATTTCGAAGACGACGTTGATAGCACTTATATCCTTCTTCTTCAATGATACAGGATTTCGTCGAACTATTTCTAAAATGTCCATAAATATTTTTAAAGTAATTTTTATTTATTTTCCTTTTTTAAGGAAATCCACTACCAAAAAATCATTGAATTATTTCCCTAAAGAATATTTTTTTCCATTAAATTTATCTTTTTAGGGTGGATCCAATCATTTTAACAATTCCCAAATATCCGAATTCGGCAAGCGCTTCGTCACAATTAAGTATTAGAAAATACTAGAGAGAGAAATATAATATAAGAAAGCTTATTCTAAATCGATTTTCCTTATCAAACGTTACTTCTGAAAGTAATTTCTATAATAAGAAGGCTGCTCCCCAGGATGAGATCCCAGAGGGCCACATAGAGCTACAGCTGAGTCCGCAGCACCAGGATATCACTTTTCACGATACCACTTTCAATAAAATTAAAAAACATTAATAAATTTATTTTTAAGATAAATTTATTTTTAGTTAAAATAATTTAGTTAAATAATAATAATTTAATTAAAATCTCAACAAAAAGCATTTCGTCGAAATTTCCTAATAAAAATTTTTTTCGATCAATAATTTTCTTCCCTATTAAATTCCAATCAATTTCAATATTTAAATCGCGAAAATTCAATTACAACTGTAATTTAAACGAATCGAAAACTGGAATGATTCCATTGCCAAAAACTCGTCCACTATTCTCCTGAAAATCCAATATTTTCCCTGTCCATTTGATATTTCTTATGTTTGAAATATTTTAAAACATATGATAATGAATAGTCAAGATGTATTTAGAATAAGATGGTACAGCAATGATCATGAAAGACCTCCATAAGGGAACAACACTGGCCAACTACCGATCAATAACACTGCTTCCCCATAAAGTGGAAAGTGGTACCATCAAGCAACTAGCTTTCAAGCTATAAGATCGTATGCGCCAGCATGCGAGTATAGTTCAAAAGCTTATAACAATTGTTGTCACAGATAAAGCAGTCATTCAAAAATCAAAGTCTCGGCAGACCAATTTAACCTGGATTGACAATAGAAAAGCCTATGATTTAATGCCTTTCATATGGATCTGTATGTCTGGCTGTATATTTCTTCGTATAACAGTTCCCACCATTACTGGTTAGGCTGGCTCCACTGGCTGAAAGGGTAAAGTGCTTCCAAGCGGCACGGTCTGATGTCATCGTCGACAGTAATGACAGCCATTCCTTTTTCCATCATCTCAGTTCATAAATTGCTGGTACACCTATACGTTCAAAACCTTTTCTGATCGTATAAGTCCGGGTTTTGATTGGTCTACCTCGTTTTTGATGTCATCCATTAGAGGGTTTAGTAAGTAACGAAAGATGTGGGCGGCAAAGAAAATGCCATAACCAGCGAAGGTAACGCTCTTTGATCGTAATATTAATGTAGGCGGTATTTGAGCAGAGGTGGATGAAATCATGTGAGATTTTATCCACTCGGCGAACCCATAAAATGTGCCTTAGACAAGAGTGGTCAAAGGTAGATAACTTCTTAATATCCTTCATTATGGCTATACAAAGTCAACAAGATCTTACTTAATTTTAGGATCATCGAAAGCTCAATGGGATTGTGAAAAACGACATTTAAAGTCAACTCGTAATAGCTTGATTATCAAGTGATTTAAGCGCAGTATATCAAGGTGACACATTGTCTTTCCGTCTGAATCCCTTCGGTCAAATAATTATGAGAAGTGGATATGGATACAAGTTTAAGAGTGGAACCATTAGCCATCTTCGCTAACAAACGAAACATTAACTTGCTCACTCATCTAAACAAAGCAGCGAGGGAAATGGGATGTCATTCGGAATGGAGAAGTGTGGCCGGATAGTAAAAAAAAAGGAAAATAATAATGATTGATGGGATGGATTTGCCAGCAGTGCACATAGCATAATATCTTATATTCAAAAGTCATATGGAAAATGCGATGATACAAGAAATATCTAAATACTACCAAAGAATAAGAAGATAGATTGAAGAGCCAATGGGAAAAAAAAAATTCGTGCCATAAAAATGTAAGCCTTGCTAGCCCTCAACACGCAGCTGACATAATGAAATGGTGAAAGGAAGATATGAATGATGCCGATTGGAAGATCCGAAAACTCACAAAGTACAAGAACACCTCAATTTAACCATTGAGGAAAGAAGGCAAATGGGGCTTGGTAAGTCAAATCATGCATTAGCAAAATCGAAGGTGAATGAAACACAAAGCAGGAATACATCAGCAAGATGGCACTAAAGGATGGTCTACTAAAAGAATGCCTAAGGCATCGGTAGATATTAGAGAAAAACCAAGCACTACGATAGAACAGGATTCTCCATAGAGTAATGCCATCGGCTGATATTGAGAAATCTTATCAGCAGCTAGAAAAAGCTACTTAAGGACTTAAGCTGCACACATAATGGCAAGACATATTATTTAAGCATGAAAATATACATTGAAAGATATAAGCAAGCAAATGGCATTGTCTTTAGGAATATCTGCTCATGGATTAAACCCTTCAAAGACCATATGGCAGATTTATCGAAAAATCGTAGAGAATAAGACCAAGATCCTGTGTGATTCCTCCATCAGATAGACCAACAAGTGAGCCAATCAACCAGATATCATGGTAATAGACAAGTACCAAAAACCAACACTGCTAAGTGGACATAGCAATACCAAATAACAGGAACAGAAAAAAAGAATATAAAAAGCCAGAGCAATACCAGAGGCTGAAAGGAAGTAGAAAAAATGTGGAAGATGTGGAAAGTGCCAAAGTAAATCCACTGGTATAGAAATATTAAGACTGTGATAACCAAATGCTAGAAAAGTGCCTTCAATAGAAATAACATTAGATATCTCTATCCTGAAGAGCATTGTTAGAATAGCTAAAATACTATGTATGGGGACTCAAAGTTGAGGATAATCCTTATCACCTACAGAGAATTAATTTTTCATAAATAAAGGAAAATAACGCAAGAAAATAAGTACATGAAAATCAGATTTAAAATATATATGTGTAAGATCATGCAAATTTGAGGAATTTTTAATAACAGGTAATTTATTCTTCTCCGATCGCATGAAACGAACTCTTGCTTCTCAACATGATAATCTAAATCTGACCATCTCTATCGAAAAAATATGGGAAATAGGAAAAAATGCCTTAAAATTGCTGAAGTAATGAAAAATAAAGTGATTACTCTAACTAAACAAACACTAGCGACATCGAGCGATGGCCGATTTATATTTGGTTCAGGTAAACCCCATAAGTGATCCGCAAATTCAGTACCATAAATCATTCGAGCATACAAGGCATTGTCTGAAACCATTCATCTATATTTCTGTCAAATAAGAAAGAAGTTTAAAAGTTCTTCCGTGAATTTTTATACAATTCAAAGCACATATCCATAAAAATGGGGATAGAATGGATCAGTGGGTTGTTGCTCGACTGGGAGTGCCGATAAAGAGGTTCAAGCAGGAGTAGACCTGTCCAAAAGTGCGGGTAATGCTGGCGACTCACCTGTACTTCTACCATCAAAAGACTCTCTGGCATATTTGTGACAAGCCAGAAGAGCGAGCCTAATGGTAAATTTTAAAAAAATGAAAAAAAATATACATTATATGTTTGAAAAAAAGCTACATATATAAATATGCCTTTATATTATATCAGATATATTTTAAAGCCTCTACTTTCCGGTGTGGTTCTTGTGCAAGACTTTCTTAGTGCTTACTTGCTCTACATCAATATAAGAATGTCGTATACTGGAGCAACGCTGGTATATAACAAGGTCGCAACAAGGACCGCACCGAAAGCAGACCAGGTCTGATGACAAGTGGGGTACTGGTGTACTGGAACAGCGCCGGATGTTGTGGAACCAGAACATCCGGCGTTAAAAGGGCTAGTGAAACAAATCTTACATGGAAAAGACAAGATAATCTAGAACTGAAGGAATTAAAATAGTAGACCTAATAAAAGGCTTATGAAATGGGCTATAAGAGATTATATGACTTAAAGGGATTAAAGGGGTTATAAGGTGTATGAAGGCACTGTGGGAAAAAGACTTACGTCTTTACTAACAGTTAATGGCTTCAACATAAAAAAGACAACTGCTCTCTCAGTTGGAGATGGATCAATTCTGCGCTACACCTCAGGCCCAGAAAAAGGAGGAAAGGAGATATATGCAACAAGCTCGGAAGCTGGAAATTGCCTTCCTATAACTCCACTGCGAAGAGAATAATTAACATGAAGAAAAAAATCGTGAATAAAATGGCTATAATGACCATCGAAACTTATTACTGGGACTCAATGATGCACCATCAGATAATATAATCGAAGAAGCAAATAGAACCTTCGCAACAATTCCTACTGCCACTATAAGAAATTGGAATATATTACTGCTAATATAATTCTCGAAATGCTATGTTATAAAACCAAGAAGAATCACAGTGCAATTCACCCATGAAAAAGGAATTGGAAAATAAGATCAGACCACAACGAAAATAACACCAATGCAAAATGGTTGCAAGATCTGAGAACAAGTCACAGCAACCACTCAGCAGCAGGAACCAGCAATCATCACAGTTTTTGATTGGAAAAGTTGGACAGCACCTGGTCCGGACATGCATCTGCTGGCTGAAAAAGTTAACAGAGGTTCATGAGCGCCTAACGATAAAGATAAACCAGCTTGTGACAGGACCAATGGGACGGACCTACCGTCAGAACATATAGTAGATATATAGACCAGCTACGAATACCAAGATATCCCACAGTTACATGGTGATAAGGAGGTAAGGAAGACTGCAATATCTAAGTATCACCAAAGAACAAGACAAATCTTGAAGAGTTAGCTCAATGGGAAGAACAAAATCCATGCCGTAAATATGTAAATATGTACACCCTACCAATAATCAGATTGAAAGATGATAAAGGAAAACATGGAGGCTACTGATATAAAGATCGGAAAACTCAAAAAAATATACGCCAGCCAGAAAGAATGGGTTTGGTTAACAAAAACCACTATCTTGAAGGAAATTCGAAGTATTCAGAAACACATCAGATGACACCAAAGAAACTGCTGAAAGAATGCCTGATGCATGTACAGAAATTGGAAAACGATCAAGCAGAAAAAATACCATGGTGAAGCAAAGCCCTCCATGGATTGCACCATCGACAAATATTGAGGTAATTGAAGCTGTAAAATCCTATCAGTGGTTGGAGAAAGTCGGACAAAAAGGCAATAATGAGGCAATAATTGATAGTAATAATAATTGATAGTAATTGGCAATAATAATTTACAGCAACAACAAGCATTAAGCACTAGATCCATCGAAACAAGGATCTACCAAACTAGAAAGGATGCAGACTATCCTAGAAACAGTCCAACATATAGTGGCAGAACATAAACTCCAACTGCAACTGCAAGAACAACATACACTGAAAGGTATAAACAAGTAATTGGCATTACCTACAAGAAATCTGCTCCATATATATGGCTTAGACCCTCCCAAGATTATATGAGAGATTCCTTAGAAAATAAGAATAATAAGACGAAGATCCTGTGGGACCTCCCCATCTAAACAGATAAACAACTATTCGCCAATAAACCAGATAATGTAGACAATAGACAAGAATTAGAAATCAGCACTGGTGATTGATATAGCGATGCAGCGATAGGAACGTCAAAAAGAAGGAATATGAGAAATTAGAGAAATACTAAGGAAAGAAAGAGGAAATAGAGAAGATATGGAAGCTAAAGACCAAAGTAATTCCAGTGATAATTGGAAGCACTTGGAACTGCGACCTCTAAAGGAGAAAAGTGGCTTCAGCAGATCCCAGGAACAATATCAGAAATCTCTGTCCGCACTATTGGAAGCAACTAAGAAAGTGTACGGAACCTTCAATCTCGAGGCCTCTGACAGAGGACTCGAGATTGAGGGTGATCGTGACCATCCACATGGGGTAAGAGAAAAGTTTCTAATAAATTATAATTCAATAGTGAAAATTCATTTTTCAATACTTTATATTTTTTATATTTTCAGACATTTAATTTAGTCATTTATGATGAATTTAATTTAATATAAGTAATTTATATGTTATTTATAATTTATTTATAAATGAGCGCTAACCATCCAAAAATATTGCAGAAGCATCGAAATGGCCAGATCGTTTCACATTACTTTTTATAAAACATTGGTCCACTGCTCCACGATATCGTTGTGCACTGTCACCAAAACTATCAGATCCAGAATCTTCATTATTGAAAGGAGCGCGTATAGCACGAACTGAGCGAATGAAGCATTCTTGGAATAGTTGTTTTTCATAATTGCATCTAAAAGGCAAACTATTGACGGTTAAATCATTTGCAGATGAGGACCCTGGCATGAAAGTAAATTAAAATGAACATTTTCGAACGTAAGAAGTTCAATTGTTTTCTAATAACTCTCATCACTCCTAATTATATTCGCTTGATTGGCTTGTCGAACCAGTGGAGAGTTTGTTGACATAGAAGGTAGACTGCCAGCATTATCACCTGGATTTATGAACAACAGATGTATTCCCGCCGGATATAGACATAGCAGTGGCAGTGGCACTCCAAATTGAGCAATATACTGAGCCAATGTACCATCTTTTGCTTTCGCTGTTCGGGACATTGCCTCAACATGGTGGGTCGGCTGGGTTCAAGCCAAGGCCATTCTCGATTCTCAATCATCTTGTCACTTAAGCCATCTACACTTGAGAAATTCATAAACTCAAAAATAATTTTGAGCACCATTTTATGAAAATAATAGGAATCTGGAAAAACAGTTTCTTCTGCTTAGTTTTAATTCTTGAAAACAAATTACGTAGGATTCGCAAAGCATTCAGCGAATGCAGCTGCTTTAATGTTTTGGATTTCACTCTCATATTCCTCAGTTATCACTGCACAACCTTGAAGCTCATCCGCACATTGACAACAAACCTGAAGAGGATAAGAAAGTAATACTTGAAATATTTTAAAATTTCTTATTCCCTTTTATTCAACAAAATGACGGAGAAATGGTCAAGTGGTATGGTTGCTTCGATGCATGGGCATCGTAGAATCCCTGAACTCCTGACTTTAATAGGAGTAAGCCTATTCAAAAAATGTGAGTGGTGATCGATTAATATTTCCAACTGAACATCAGGTAAAACTTCCAACTGTGCTAAAAACCAGCGAGGTCTAATTAGAAATCATGATAACCAAGAAAAAACTTATGGACACAGTATTTCAAAATTTTACCTGCAAAAATTTTTCCACAACGACTAAAGCAATAATATTTAATCGCATAACGAATTCAACAATATTGAGATGATATGGACGAAAATGGGTTTTACTTGGGAGGGACCAAATAAAATCTCATGAAGAGGGAGGCGAAAGAAGAGAGGGAGATATTTGTTTCACTTTACCATAATGGATTACATTTCTTCAATATTCTTCCAACTAAAATTATCTCGTTTTATGCATCATTTATCATTTTATCATTTCTGAATGGAAAATGATTCAAAAAAATCAAGGAACAAGAAATTATTTAACTGATTCAGAGATCCATTTCTAATAATATTTCGCCCTTTCAAATTTGGTTCGCTCCACTGATTGCTTGGATGAGATCCTTAAGCATAGAGCGGCAGTTAGCATTCACCATTTCTGATTAATCTCGCTCTAATCACTAAATGTAAGGATAGGAAAGTTGCCAGAGAATGAGTCGCTTGTAGATACAAGTGCAGATAAATCATCATGACCACTCAGATTTCTCTAATGGGGAATTTGCGTTTGCGAGAACAGAATGTTCGATACAACTTATGCGAAAGTTGCAAATCCAAAAACCTATTCCAGATCCATAAGCATCCAATCTAGTTTTCTTTCCCTGCTATTTTCTACCCTTTTAGATAAAAGTAAAGCACAGGAAACCATAAAAATACCTTCGTGTAAATTTCGAAATCAATTTCATCATTTTATTGCTTTCCCTGCCTAGCTACTGTGTCTTTTGTCTTCATCATTCCTCTTTTGCCTCTAGCCGATGAAATCTCGCAAATATTAACATTGTTGATCCTCCATGTTCATAATTTCCCATTCAAGAATCTCAAGGACCCCTTTTCCGGAAATATTCAGAAATTTTCGATGTGCTTGATAAACAACGAACAATTCAGTTGAAGAGCTCCGAACAGTGACATTGTATGCGACACAAATATTTGATTAGTTCAAAAATTTAAAACATCGATACGTTTTATGAATTTCGATTTTTTTTGAAAAAATTCCCATTTTTGGCGAATTCTTAGCCACTATTAACTTTTATTTCTCATCTTCTATTTGCAGATTTGAGAGGCAATCACATTTCGCTACCATACAATTCAATATCCAACTGGCCTGTTTCAAATTCATGTAGATAGAGCAGAGCTCATCAAGTAGTTGCCTGCTTCGTTATTGAAGATGTGTATTATTTGAATATTGAGTAAATTGACTGAGAATAAAAATTATTTCAAAATATTTTTAAATTTAATCGCTTGTCTCATACCTTTCATCATTTTAAGCTCAAAAATATCATATTAAGATGAAATAACTGGACTGCAAATTAAATAGATTAATATGGACACAAATATGGGATGGAAATTTGTGGCATGTCAATTCGACTCGTGTTATCATCGTGGGTTTTCTCACTTTCTCATTTTTCTTGGCGGAAAATTTATCATTAAAGGGTAATACCAGAGTGATGCTGCAGACCAGCTGCACTTCTCAATTCTTAGATGATTCTCTGATGGAAATGGCTTAATCCTTACAGTCGCCAAACCACGACTTCTTCAAGAACATTTGCATTTTGTATAAAAGTTATCTGCTAAAAATTTATTAATCAACACTCCATTATTCAATATTTGTGGGATTTCTTCGGTACCAAAAAATTTTCCTCAGCATTGTTAAATATATTCCATGGATTTTTCTAAAGGCAATTTCAGTAGGAGCAGAAAACGACATTTAACGACATTTGCCACCTTTATGATCTATGGTCTATTATTACCATTGAATACATCTTTTATGGGTCACTTTATCGCTAAGCAATACAAAGCAATTTGTCCAATTTATATAGCCAATAATTGTCCTTCTATTATAAATTGTTTGAAGGGATTTATTTTTCAAAATTCTTCCCGACTTTGCATATGAAAGCTATATTTGCTTTAAAACTCAATACAGTCGAACTCGATACAAATTTACGAGTCACAGAAAAACAGAGCGCTGAACAATAACCAAACTTTGACTGAAAAAAGATGTGGCAAAAATCCTTTTCGCAGATTAAATCTTGCAAGAATGCATTCGCATTTACTCAAATATTACCTGCTATGTGGTCACGGAGCGTTGCATTGGTTGGTTAGGATTTCTTTATTCTTTACCGCAGAATGACACTTATATATATATATATATATATCTCGCTGCATATTTGCTAAATCTCCTGTGGTGGATGGGGCCACAAACAAAGAGTATAAATCTGTGCTTATGCAGTACAATTCAGTATACAATTAGAATACAATTTGAACGCATGCATAGCCTCAGAGATTTGCGAATTTAGACATGGTGTAGCTTCTGTTACGACAAAAACGCAGCGAGCGACTTGGCAACGCTTTACCCAGCAATAATTCGCCACGAACTTATCCGAGAAATAATTCGCACCAGCTTCTTAAACTTCATAGGCGTATTTTACCATAAGCATACCTCATTTCATCACTATCTTCCCACGCTACTTCTCGATTCATTCTTCGTTTTTTTCTTGCACCATTGCCACTTCACCAGAATTCTATACTCGTTAAAAGAACTAATATTTTTCACAAACATTTTATCAATTTCAACCATTCGACCACATTTATAACCTAAATATAACAAACATTTCCAAACACGAAACAAGAATTTTTCGTACAACTAAAAGAAAACATATTTCTTAGCGGAATTAGGAAAAAACTACTAGGAAAATCAAAATCTGAAAAGTATGAAAAATATCGCTAAATCTTAATATTTTTATTGAAAAAAATTTTTTTTCAATACTTCAATACAATTTGAAAACTTTAATTTAACTGAGATAGGAATAATAACTAAAGCCAGTACTTCGATATGGACGTTTCTTCACGAATTTTGGCACTAATTTTCCCACTGCCCTTACACAATACTCCTCAGGGCTCAGTTATCCATTCCTAATCCCTATATTATTTTATCTAAATTAATTTCACCAGCAAGCAGAGAATGCGAAAAAACACTGAATCTTAATAACAGTAAGCAGAAGCAGAAGTGGTGGGACAATACAGAAGGATTGAAGGATAAAACAGAATGGAGTTGGGCAAATTACTGGCAGTATCGTTAACAACAAAGACTTCATGGAACAATGATAAAATATCTAGAATGTAACAAATAAACCGCAGAACTCTCCAAGGTTTCCAGTCGGATCTCAACAAACAAATACGGCAATGTATAATACGATTTGCCAGTGGAAAAAAAGCAAGAAAATTTCGTACTTCCACAGATTTCTTTAAGCAAATTTACATGCCTTGCAATCGCAAATTTCGAATCTTTTCAATATTACACGTCAAACGCCAAAACGTAACGAAAGCAATGAATTGCCTCTACGAACATTTAGTTGGAAATTATAACGAATTTAGCTCTTAAATTCAATGATTTGACTTGAATGGGAAAACGAACACAGTTCCAATTCCTCGATTCGACTTTGCTAAGCTTATGATTCAAATATATATCAGTGACGTAGGTAAAAGCTCGACGTGAATTAAAAATGTAAAATATGAATCAATTTTGCTACAACTATTTGACTAATTTAATTTAGACAGTACTATGCGAATAAACAGTTATGCAATATAAATCTGAAAATATTTTTAAAAAACCTTAAACCTCGATAACTTTTAATCCAAATTATATATTCTAAAATGAGAAATTGCTAAAATAATTTTTCCGCAGCAAAGCCCACGATTATTAAAGAAAATAGATTCTGCAAACTACAACGTAAGACACGAGAAAAAATTTCGGCAAATCCCACGAGCAAACCTCAAACTTTTCACAAAATATGATTTTGCCCAAAAATTTTCAAATTTATTACTAAAAATCTAAACTTGAAAATTATTCCTGTTAAATAATAACGAAATCTAAAAAATCAAAGTCTGGGAATTTGAGAATACACCAATTTCTATCAGCAGATTTCACCTCATATAATCTAAAAGCTTACTAAAAGCTTTAACTTTTTTTGATACTGAAATTCGATTTATTTAAATCTCCAATTTTTCCAATCGTTATTTCGATTTTTTCACTCAAAGAAGCGAATGAACACAGAACCGCAATCATTAGGAAAACTCTGTTCACTAACATGTTAAAACAACTGAATAAGATTCACGGATAGAAAAATAAAAAATTTCTATGTACCAAACATACAAAAAACAAGAAATTCGTTGATGAAAAATTTTCAAATTATTAAGAAATTGTAATCAAATCAAATTATATTCCAACACAATAAAATTTCCAAAACCTAAACCGTTCGTTATATTAAAAATTCATAAGCGAAAAAAACAGACCAACAATTTTGATTATAAATTGTTTTTATTAACTTTAACAAAACAACATAAATGTGACCAAAAAATTATTCAAAGTTCAATTGCAAATTTCATATACGCATTATTTCTGTTTGGTTCAACGAACGGTTTATATTTTTGAGTAATCTAATAAGATAAAAAAAATAAAAAGAAAAATTTTTGCTTTAAAATTTAAATAAAAAAAGAGCATCAAGGACAATGATTTGATTCATATTTGATTTGATATATCATGATTTAACATCTTTCACAATAAAGTTCAACGTTCACTCGCAAGGACAATGATATGTTATCGTTAAAAGTTGATGGTGAAGAAGCCACTGAGAACTGACTATTCTAGAAATTCAATCAAGAGAGCTGATGACCTGGTTCAAAAATACCCAATTTTAGTATCACAACGATTCTGCAAGAAAAATTATTTGCACAGGGTAGCAGATTTCAGAGCACTTAAACTACGGAATTAATTAAATCAAAAGATGTAAACGGAAAATTAACGATCAAATAATAATAAACCAATTGAAATAGAATCTAATTTACTGTTAGTTTAAAAAAAAGATTGTACGAACCATTTATTTTCAAGTAGTAATAAATCTTTTGAAAATATTTATCGATATCTTTTGAAACAATTATAAAATAACAATCACCACAAGCTACCAGTTAAAAATAACATTTAACAAAAATTATTGAAATAAGAGCAAAATTTATTTTCGAATTTCCTTCTACTGTCAAATGACCAAAAAGGTTTCAAACTTCACAACTATGTTTACGTGGCTCATTTTTACTATTTCCCCCATACCAGCTTTGATTATGATTACATTTGGAGCTAATTTCAACGTTTTATATTTAGTCTGCGGCTAGCATCTGAAAATTTTTAATAAAGGTTTGCAAAAAAAATTTACCTACATAAAAAAGTTAGATAGGTGAATGTGGGCATTGAGAACATATGACCACCTACTGCGAAATATCAGTCCAATGTTGAACTCTTTGGACTCTTTGATAACCCTTACAGCCCTATCATTCCCTGTGAAGAAAGAATTCTTTTCAAATCCTGCTAAACCTCTCCTTAAAACTCTGAATTCGGGTCGCTTTTTTCAATTATTAAAATTTTCTTCTTTAAATTCCTTAGATCCAGTAATTCAATACTCAGTAACTCAATACCATTTACTTTTATTAGGTTCCATTAAAGCCCCATCAAATCTTGCAGCATGAATTTCTGCAGTGACTCATACAAATTATAGAACCACAAAAAATGATTACTGTAAGATGTATTAGCGAATACGAATTATGTTAAGAGGCATATTCAAATTTGAAGGTGCCCATATCCTCCCTTAGGACAGGTTTTTCCATAAAATCTCTCTGCTATTGCTCAGAAAGAAAGAAATTTTACCTTTGCTGATCGTCACTGTGCCAGTTGTCTTATATTCCAAATATTGCTAAATAAAAAAATTTATTGCTAAAAATCAAAAAAAACTTATGGTAGACGGCTTACATTTGCAATGCAAAGAGAAATTTTCATCCAAGCTTTTTTTTTTAAGATAATTTGTGATTAAGTTAATTTGTAATAATGAAATAATAATGAAAATTAATTTACCTTATGACTCATAGCAATTTTGTCGGATTGAAAGCGATAAATAATAACTTTGAGACGAACTTCTTCAGTTATTGTTCCTTTGAACCCACCCTTGCGTAAAAGATTATCGAGGGCTTCTACATGATTCCAACCTAGAAATAATAAAAAAATTCAGAAGGAATAAAACATGGATAATATGATAAAATCTGCAAAGAAACAGATCATAGCATCTGATGAGAATGTAATTTTATATATATTTTACCTCATATATATATATCTAAGCTTAAAAAAAATATCCTTACCAATTTAATTATTACAATGAAGGCATTTTTATTCGAAGCAAAATAGTGAACTTTACTTTTTAAAATTACTTAAAATAGTCAAAAGTTAAATATCAAATGAAAAATTTCAAAAAAAAGTTAAATGATTGAAAATACATTAAATGAATGACCTTGTTCAGCAGCCACTTCAGGTAGATAAACAGCATCACGGATATGATGGTTTTCTTGGAATTCAATTCTGCAATGGAACAAAAGAGCAAATAAAAGAAAAACAAAGAATGAAACAAAAAATTGCTAATCAAAAAAAACACTTAGTGTAAACCTAGCCTTTGCGCTATCTTGCAATTTTTTAAGCGCTGATTATGCAAAGAACATGGATATTTTTTAAAATGATTAGTTAATATGCTCGTCCATGGAATAAGACGACTGGTCATCTAATGTTTAATCTTCAAAAAACATTAGTAAAATCAAAAACTATTAAAAAAAATTTCAAATAATTAAACACCTTATTCCATGGACTCCAATAGTCCAATCCCAGTAACGGTCCAACCTCTCGAATTTCATTAAAAGACTAACAGCACAATGTAACTGATCTACTTCACGAAGTGTTATTGGATCAAAACGAGAATCTTTGAAAGCACTAAAAAAAAATTAATATAATATAACACAGAAATGTTTTATTTTTTTGTAAAGAATATCGAATCATCCATTATATAAAATAATTGAATTTAAAAAATTTGCGAACCCTTCTTCAATTTGAAATATAATTATGGGAGTCGAGTTTTTTCACCAGAAATCGGTGAGTTTCTAACAAATCACAGTTATTTGTGCCTTCTAATAGCATCAAACAAAATTTAAAATAGAGAATTAGAAAAATTTTTTATTGAAAGATATATCCCAAATGCAAGAAATTTTAGCAACATATTCTTTATCTGCAATAAGTGAGAGACAAATGCCATACGCACCAGGTTTTTTACCACTCATTTTCAGAACATGATATTTTAAAATAAATGATTTTAGATTTTAAATGAATGAAACAATGAATATAAAAAAAACTTACCTAATTAAGGCGTATTCATGAAGGCCCTTATGTAGCACGAGTTGATTGAAAGTACCAATGCATCCACGCAAACGCTTATCACATCCTTTTTTCCATGTTACAAATAAAGCACTGCAATAGTTCATTGTGTTATCAGATTCTTAAATTTTACTATATGCCATTTCGTATATTTTCAAAAATCTTAAGAGTTGCAGTATTCAGAAAGGTATTAAATATATTTTTAAATTAATTCATCCATAAAAATAAAGATTAATATTTTGATCATCAGTGAAAAATTGTCTTAACGATGAACGAATCACTAAATTCTCGAAAGGCAATATAACATTTGAACAAAATATCGATTTCAACGATTTAAAAAATTTACACAAAAAAATGAATGAAAAAGAATTAGAATTGGAATTCAAAAACCATTTTGAAAATAACATTAAAAGATCTAAGGAAAATCCGATTAAAACTTTTTATACTTACTACTTATCATTAGGAATACAAGAAGGAATTTTGGGAGTTTGACCATTTCGCAAGACTGATATGATAAGATCAAAACAATACGCTGTCATATGATAATTTGGAATTGACCCTGGAAAACAAGATTTAAAAATGCAAAATTCATTACCTTTTGTTTATTCGAATTCTAAATTCAACCAATCAAATCCAATATTTCTTATTCGATTAGACACCAAAATTTTAGAATACATGATTTACCTGAATAACAAATACTGAAATAAAAAAAAACGAACAGAAAACGTATTTCTCCTTGCGCACGACGATTTGGCATTGACCATATTCGACATGTGGTTCATATTCGATAAGCTGTAATGTCCGCTGTTCACCATTTTGACTGACCCGAGGTCGACACTGATTCGTGTCTTCAAAATGATTTTTTGACGCCACGGTGGCGTCTATCTTTTCTTCGCGTATGAACCTCGTTATGAACACTAAAAAAAATTCTTTAACATTGATTTCCTTTTTTTTCAAGATTTAACTTTATACTAAAAATTAAACAAACTTTTGAATAATTCTGAATTCTAAATTAGATATGCAAGATAATATATTTCGACAATTTTTCCACATTTTATTCTTATTTTATATTTTGCAGCTTCTCCCAGTAATTCCCCAGCAACTGAGTTTCAGTAAATTCCTAGAATACACCAAACTAAAAATCGATTCCAACAACAAAATAAAATACCTATCACCGGGCTAAATTTAATCCAATAAAAGTAGCTGGGCACGCTCGATGCGTCAAAACGGAACCAATAAATAAATTTTTAACTAGAAGATCATCGATGAATAAATTTTATTCCATACGTCAGTTCACTTCTGAAATTCACATTCACAATTCACATTCAGTTAAGACAATCAATTTAGAATCATTAATACTTATAACTCATGATTTTTGAGTTGATCATAAGCGATTATGTTTAATGATTGAATTACCTATGCCTGCTCTAAAGGCAAATTCTGTGATCTCGGTGATTAATGTGCATTTTCAAGTTATGCATGGATGATATTGATAAAAACCAAACAAAAACTGGAAAAGCGAATGAGCGTGTATAAAGTGGTGTTGTCCCACAATTTTTTATGGTAAGTATGGTGTTACGATCACGTTCTGATTGAGATCTATGGATTTTTATTGAGATCTATGGATTTTTTGACAAAGAACTTTATAGTAAATACTGGATGCAACAGTGAAACTGACTCCCAAGTTAATGTGAAGAACTGCTGTTCATTTTACACAGTACTAATAAAATAATAAATTTCTACAATCTCGAATCCGTTATCACATCCAACAGCCAAGAGAAAAATGAGATTCCAGCATAGCATTTAGAGATGCTTTTCTTCGTTTGGCCTCACAGCAAAATCGAAACGAATGTTCGCGTTTATCTGGCTATAGAACCAACAGCCTTGCTATGTGGTTGCAAAACAAGGCTCATGAATGAGAGTGGGAGGATATCGAGAAATTACCTATTCTTTCACTGTTGCGCCAAATGGACAGATTTTCACAAGACTGCATCTATCTTCGTCCGATTGCCATTAATAATACCGTCATCAAGCATCATCTGAGCTAGTTAAATTATGTTCTTCACCCCATTAATAGAGGATCAATCAAAGATACAATTCTTCTTCTTCTTGTAACACTCTCACCATTACTGGTTAGGCTGGCTCCGAGGGCTACAAGAGAAAGACGCTTTCAAGCGGCGCGGTCTCATGCCATCGTCGACAGTAATGGAAGCCATTCCTTCTTCCATCGTCTAAGTCCATATACTGCTGGTTCACCTATACGTTCAAAATCTTTTCTCACCGTATCAATCCAGGTCTTGATTGGCCCACCTCGCTTTTGACGCCAATCATTACACGGTTTAGTAAATAACGAAATATGCGTCAATTCCTGTGGAGGACGATGGAGAATGTGCCCTAACTAGCGAAGGCGGTGCTCCGTGATAACATTATTTATGCAAGTGGTATTTAAACGAAGATGGATGCGATCTTGTGATATTTTATCCGCTCGACGGATCCGTAATATGTACCTTAGAAGTGGTCAAAGGCAGATAACTTTTTAATATCCTCCACTCTCATTGCCTAAGAACCATATAGTAAGATCTAACGGACCACGGCAATATGCGGACTTTTGTTTTTATGGTGATTTTATGGTGATTTCAAAGATATAATTAGGAAAGACTGATACAGTTAGAAGGAATTTTTAATGTATAGCGGATATAAAATATGGATGGAAAGAGAATTGACTTTAGTTATTTTCAAGTACGGCATCAGGTAAATTCTTACTTTAGTGGCCAGTGGAGCCAGCCGAAGCAACAGTGTTAGAAAAAAAAGATTTTCTTTATTAAAATAAATAACATGGTTCGCTTAAAGGAGTTAGTATTTATAATCTACATCAACTAACAAGCTTTTGTCCATGTTCTATACGTATGTTCAACATGTCTTACAACATGATTACAAAACAGCTTAAATAAAAATGAATCAAATTAAATGGGAAGAAAAATTTTTCATGAATTATTATACTAGATGAATAATATTATCCACAATGTGAAACTAAAATAAAAGGTAAACTACAGAAATTATTCCCATTTTTCTAAAAAATCCCCAATAAAAACTAATTTTACCGCTGTTTAGTACGAAAAAAAGAATTTGCCAAAGAATGTTTATATCATGGATAGCCTAAAATGGACAACTTTACAACAATACCTACATGTTCCTAAAAAATGTTCACTTAATGTCAATATAACAATACAACAGATTTAAAACAACTGCGAGGAAAAAACAGTACAGTGATATATTATTTTAATATTTAATATAACATCTTAATAGCATAGTAAATAATACTACTTTAAGCGATTAAGAGTACATATAAGCCTAAGATTAGCGGTTTAATATAAATATAGCCAAAGATATATAATAATTAAATGAAGACTGTTTGAATTACTTCGACCTTCAATCTTACATGAAACCAGCAAGGTCAAAATCATAACGACCGAAATTTACAAAATAAAGTCCGTGGAAGATGCAACACCTTTGCTTGCTATAAAGCTCTTAACCACAAGATTTATATTTCGTGAAAAACCATTCTCACCTCGCTTAACTACCCTACCCTTTAATATTTTCAAAACTCCGATACCCTTTTTTCACCATAAACCTCTGACTTAAACTCCTTTAACTTCTTAACCCTTTCATTATTTTCACCAAACGCCTCTCTAAATTTTGCATTGCACTTCTACCTGTGACCAGAGGGCATAAAATGGTAAAGAATAACATAATGATACTGTATAATAGAAGTTGGAGAAGCAGATGGAGGAAGGATATGAAAGAGGATGAGAACTAGGTGAGTTAAGAAAAAATGCAAGACGATTCGCAAAGGCGTTCTTCTTCATTGTCTGATAGCTCACCAATGCCAATTTTGTTTGCTCCACTGACCACTAGAGTAAACTAGAGTAAAACGCTTTCAAGCATCCCGACAGTAAGCCATTTTTGAAAATAGCTGAAGCTGTTTTTTCCATCTCTTAAGCTCGTACATATGCATTCAAAGTTTCTCCCCTAACCATCCAAGCTTTGACCCTTTTGATCCTTTGATGCCATCCATCAAAGAGTCTAACGAGCAGCAGAAGCCTCAATTTCTATGCAGGGTGAAAAAGAATATGACCTATCAAGCGCACGTTCTGCGATGATTTTCTTAATGTTCGAGAGAAGATAGATGAAATATGAGATGCAACTCCTTTCAGTAGGATGTATTTTAAGCGAGAATGGTCAAAGAACAGATAGCTTCCTGAAACTTCCATCCCCACTGCTCAAGTTTCATAGCCGCATAGTACAATTGAGCACATTACGGCTTGAAAAATACGAACTTTTGTTCTGACGTCTCGTATTTTGAAAGAATATATTGGTTCTGCTCACAAAACAAGCCTTTTTTCTACAATACATATATGGTAAATACTGCAAATCTTTTATGCAACATTCAAGACTAAATATTGCAAATGTTATTCCATTCAACTGAAAACGCAACAGCAACTGCTCTATTGCATCTTAAATAAAGCAGAATCTATAGCTCGCTTTCGAATGGAATTGATAGAAGGAAAAGAAGAAAAAAGACTATTTCTCGACCAAATTTATAATTTTAAAGCCTTTGACTAATCAACATTTAATATAATTAAAAATTAATATAATTAAAAAAATCTCCAATAATTTTATCACCAAAAATATTTTAGAAAGCATATGAACCTTTAAATAATTGAATAAACAACAAGGATAAAAAAATATTTATAATATTTATATTAATTAAAATTTTCACAAATTTTCATAAAATTTTCAATTTTCACCTGCTTTTTTCTGTTGAAAAGCTCTTTTTCAATCGTGTAATCATTAAAATAACAAATAATGGAACTCAAATAACGAAAAAAATTGAATACTTTTTTGAAAGTCTTTGTCAACTTAATCATGTCTTTGTCCAAAATTTTCAACTAATTATTATATAATCCTCCTATGAAATTTTTAGTATTTTATCTAATAATCAAAGGACTGAAGCCCGATAAAATGTTCTAAAAGACGTTAAAAACTACTAATTAACATCGAACAACATCGAATACGATAAACCGATTAACCAATCTGCAGTATATGGCATAAAATTTCCTGAATTTCTACTGGCTCAAGCCTACAAATGCTGATTGGAAACTAAACTGAAGCAACTATTTTCACAAATCTCATAACAACACATTCGAATCGATTTAAATTCAATTTTTTCCGCTTTCTTAATTTCTAATTAAAAAATTTTTTTAGTCATCTTTTTCTTTTTAAGTCAAAATTTTCCCAACAATTATCAATTTATCATTTTTCTAAGATAATCAATTAAACAGCAGATAAGTCAACAACGAATCGCCAATACATCCATTCTTCTTCCTATTATTATTATTGAATTTTTTGCTGTTAAAAGAATTTTTATTTTGGTTTAATAGAATTGTAGGACCGAGGAATTGTAGGACCCACAATCTGCATAATCTTAGCCATTTCGAACAAAATAATCGACCGATTATAAACAATAAAATTGTGTCGTGAAAACAGTTTATTTACAGGA